CCTTTCCTTCCATCCACAGCCCCGTCCACACCCATGCGCCTGCAGCTTCCGTCTCGCTCCCCTCCCTTCCTTCCCCAGCCCCGTCCACACCCCCTCGCCCCCCCTTCCTTCCATCCACACCCCCCCCCACACCCATGCAACTTCCGTCTCGCGCCCCTCCCTTCCTTCCCCAGCCCCGTCCACACTACCGTCTCGCGCCCCTCCCTGTTCCATCCACAGCCCCGTCCACATCGATCTTCCGTCCACGACAACGCTTGCTTTGTCTCGCTCTTCCGCGGCACTAGCGAGTAAACGAGAACCCAAGCATCGGAGATGCTTTTGGGAACTAGTAACAAAGGCATCATTACTCTTAGAAGCATCTAGAAGCAAGAAGCTGCTAGTAACAAGGAAAAACATGGAACAACTGTGAAACAATAGACACATTGTTTCTAGTTACTAGTAGCGATGCACTTGTTGCTACAAGAAGGGCTCCGCAACTTGAAATGCGGAGCAAGTCACCAAGGTGTTGCAAAGCGTTGCCCGCCAAGGTTTTCCATACGCCACCATCACCAAGCTGCCATAAAGCACCAGGTTCATACAAAGAATTCGTCCCGAAGCTGACGGCAGAAGTGGACAAAGAACCACCAAGGCGTTCCGCACTGAGAACAAGACCGAATAGACCTCTGCACCCGGGCGGAAGCGCATGAAGAGGAAGGAGCAAGATCGGATCAGCTTCACCTCACAATACACGCGACGTAAACCAGTATTCCTCCTTATGGGTGTAGTGAGGCGGGCGAAAGGTACCGGACAACCCACGTCAACAAAGAGTGCGAAGAGAGTGGATCCAAACGAAGCTACTACTGTAGGAACAAGTGCATCGCTACTAGTAACAAGTGCCTTACTAGTAGTAACAAGAAGCTAGTAGTAATTAAGTTTAATTGGAGTTCAAGAGCGGTCAGGAGCAATCAATCGCAGGCAGGACCTAATGAGATGGGAAGAGATCAAAAGGATAAATAGTCCCGGTGAAAGTTGCTGACAGTGAGGAAATTAGAGTTAGAGTTGTTGAATTACGCGTTGCAGTGTAAAGGACCGCAGGGCACCCCAGATTCTCAAGCTGTGTCTAAGTTGGCAGAAGCATCACAATTTTATAGCAACAATTAGAGGACATGATTAGACTTCATTTTCGAACTACTACCATTACGGTTTGGTCTTACATTTTGCTGTCGACGTGTCAAATTCAGAGACCTTGGCTGCCGTGCCTCTCCGTCAGCAATCCAAGAAGGCAGCTTGACCAGGGTAATGTATGAGCACACAGTCAAGAAAGCAATCGGGAGAAGACAGCAAAGACCTCGAGGGCTAGGATCCAAGACGCCGAGAAGCCTAAGCCACCACCTCAAGCTCTCTTTGCTCCTACTTACTATTAGGTGATCTTTGCCCAATAAGGCGACAGCGTTCAAAAAGGATTGGACTCAGACAACTGAAAACGATCAAGAAAAGGGTACTTCTCGTCTTGACTTTGGGATCACAAAATGCTCAAGCTAGCAGTATTTACTGCACCACTTTGCCTCCAACCAAGCTCATCTGCAAATGCTCATTGTTCATGTCACAAAGCACTGAATGATAGGCTTGAACTGTTGATCGACCATTCGGATGGGCATAGCATCTGAATGGTGCCAGCAAAGAGGAGCAAACTGAGATGAAGAAGATCATGAACAATGTACCGACTGTGCCACCAAGGACACCTCGCAGTGCAGGTCCAAAGTACATCCAAAAATGTTTGGTCAGTCTTCCTTCAAAAGTCGGATGGGGCAAATGTTTGATTTTGCAGATATTCAGGCACTCTATGTTCGAGAAAACAAGTTTAACATACGCACACTTCCGTTCAACAATGTTCAACACATCAGCTCCTTGAGGCTTAGTCCAACTGGTCCAAGGATGTCCAAGGCATCCAAGAGACTGAGCTGCAAGCCCTTCCCCTTCTGAAACATCGCAATGAAAAAGAAGTGGACCAAACATGCCACAGCGAAGAACACCAGAACCAGCAACGTTCTCATGGTAAATTTGGCAACCGGTGCCATTGGCGCCACACAGCCAAGGGAAATCAGATCAAGATCAAATGCGAAAATGTCGAAGGATACCAACATGCTGGAGAAAGGTTCACCCCACCTGAAAGGCCAACTTCAACTCTAAACCTGAGCCTAGCTCTACTATCAACATGAACAACTTGGCAAGCATTTTCGTAGCCTTTGAAGTTGTGCCTACACTGGGCTGAGACAAGTGGCTGGATCTTGAACTGCTGAATCACAGTCAGTTGCTGGACAACTGTGATCATTTGACCAAGACCAAGTGCTGCAATTAACAGGCTACCAGGTTGTGCGCTCTTCTGCCCTTTCCGCAGTGATACCACATAGAGGACCACAATGCCAGCACAAACAAGCAAAGTCACCACGATGATCAAGAAATAGTCTCCTTTGACGCTTGACACTTGACTAAAACACTAACATACACTGCTCACAAACTAGCACCAATCAATTCAACTGTCGCCGCGCATCACTCGCAAAAGGGTCCAACCCACTTGTCTCAAGGAGGGTAGAAAGAGGGAAACGCAATGTACCATGTATGTGGCCAGCATCCAAGAATACCAACTATAAGTCAACCTTGTAAGATCACTAGTGAAACAAACCTGTACTGAAGGCTACCAGGCTACCGGTTTTCAAAACACTTTGCACAGTCTTGGTCAATGTCATTGTGCTATTCGAGGAACCAAATGAATAGCGTGAGCTGGCTGTAGCTACCTCTTACGGCCTACCCTCCCGGCCTTAAAACAACATCATTTTGCGTCTATGATGTGAGCCATCAAACTGGTGCCCCAGGATGTCCCTTTGGGCTGATGTCCTGTCTCACATGGAACGCACACACCTCCATCCGCGTGCAGGCCATCCAGGCAGGTGCTACAGGCAATGCTGTCCACGTCTCTACCAGCAGCACCTTGGAAGAAGCGAAATGGCCACACTCTGGAACTCGTCAAAATTGTTAAATCACAGATCTGGCAAGTGAGACAGACTGTTTCCAGCTTCCCAAGCTTAGCTTTTCCTGCCACGTGCACAGGTTCCAGGATCACCTCCTGGGCATCTTTCCGGCTCGCCAAAGCATTGAAATATCATACCAGGCTCCTGCAAAGGATTGAACTTGTCCAAGCCTGGTAGCAACACCCTGTAGCAACGATCCTTCTCTTTCAATCTTCTTTCGTTTCGTCTCCTCCTTGCTGGAGAAAAAGCCAGGGAGCAAGTGCAATTGATGGACCCAGGACAGTTGGACCCCCGCATGCATGATTCACATCGCCCTTCAAAAAGAAAGTAGCCCTCAATACAAGTACCTGAAGTCTGGAAAGCAGGACTATACGCTGACTACTGCGACTTAGTTCATTACCTTCTCGCTGCATCAAAAACACAAGACAAACGCATCTTTCAATTGAGTGTTTTCCAACGCTGACAAAGGAGCAAAATGAGTCGGAGGTCGCTCCCTCCACTTGAATCCATGACTCCTTGATATTTGCCACTACAACAAAACGATGTGAAGCCACATTGATAACAATATACCGTCATGCTGCAGCATGCTATTGCTTCCTACGATGTTGCATTGATAATGCACATCAGCGTTAAGACCTGAGGCCACAGGAACAAAACCTAGGCATGGCCAATGACCAACTGAGAAGTGCAGGAGCTGCAAAAAGCCACAGTGAGAATGCAAATAAATAGACATGTCTTTTTTTGCTTGTTTCTAATAGCAATGGCCTCCAACCTAATAGCGATGGCCTCCAACCTAGAAGCGATGGCCTCCAACCGACTAGCGATGGCCTCCGGCCAAATAGCAAAAAAACAAGTACGACTATATAGCGGAATGAGCTTGAGGTGGATGATGATGATGATGATGATGATGATGATGATGATGATGATGATGATGTATTGTGCAGACTGAGATGTTCAAAGACAAACGTCCAAGACATTGGAATAACATGAAAATGTGTTTTTTCCCAAGAAATCTAGGAACCCTTTGCCCTTCCGCATTCATGTCGCCTGGTGGCTACTTGTTAGCTACTAGCCTCTCTCTTGCCGGCCTGAGAGTGAGAAATCGTGTGGGGTGAGATAGGTAGGGTGCAGTGAGGTGAGCGAAAACGAGTCTTCATGCTCCTGGCCATACTACTAGGAGCAGGGACGCTACTAGGGGCTCCTGGCCGTACTACTAGGGGCTCCTGGCCGTGTGGGTAAGACAAAGTTAACGAGTTGGAGGTGTGATCGATGTTCAGCGTGTTGGGGAGAACTTGGTCGCAGCGCCCCTAAGGGGCCATACGTTTTGAGAGGAGCCTCTAGTAGCGTCCCTGCTCCCAGTAGCGATGCCAGGAGCCCCTAGTAGCTTCTTGCTCCTAGTAGCGATGCCAGAAGCCCCTAGTAACGTCCCTGCTTTTCCTGGTCACTTTGTTTGCGGCTCGTGCAGCGTAAGTTGGGTGTGGTGAGGGGGTAATAACAATTGTTTCACGCGCTACGCCAATGATATGTGCTTGCAGTAAGAACAATCCATGCACGTGCGACGGCAGGGCTAGGTTCTGAGCTTCGGGGACTATAATGTCGTTTTCAGAGTGCAACTTAGATATCGGTCAGTCTCTCAGACTGACCTCGTCTTACCTGACAGTTCCAAATCAAGAAGTTACCGCGGGACATGGCTTAAGTAACTGGCAACTGGATTTGCCGGATATGGGAGCAAATCATGTGGTTTCACGGTACTTTGAAGTTCTAGACATTTCTCATTGGCAATGAACCATAATTCGCAGTACTGTAATTAGCTGATACACACCCAACATAAAACACGAATTCCTTAGATGACCATCTCTGAAAAGACTTGGTATTGCGTGACAAAGGAAGCTCAAGTCCGGCTTGGAGCAAGTAGTCCATGCTAAAGGGCTACGTGCAATCCGGTTGGAACGGCTCAAACAAACTTTGATCGAAATACCAAAGCAGCACTAACTACGATAGCAGCCTGCAAAACTACCCCCCCTCAGTGGATACTGTTCGCAAAATAGACAGGTTCTTTTTCGAGAATGTTCTATGTTGAACTGTTCAAAAAAAAACAAACCCCTTAAAACCATGTGTTGAGTGTTGCAAAGAGAAAGCACAGGCTTGTCCTGGGCCTGAGACAGCACAGGCTTGCTGGTTGTCCAAAGTTCAACTTGATCAGCAGGGCCACCTGGGAAGCTGACACAAACATTGCAAAGCCAAAAGCACAAACAGGACTCCAGTACGAAGAAAAACAAAAATGGAAGTTGCTATACAACTCTATGGCATGAAGACCATGCTTCTGTATGCATGCCATGTAGGCAAGAATGTCCCAAGTGGGCTGCAAAACTTTGTTTGCAAGGCACATTGCACGCATTCACTCATTCCGCTATTGTTGGCATACTTTCCCAAGGTACAAAGTGTGCACTCCATTGCCTCGGTCGCAAATGTCAAGATCGTGTGCCCTTCACCACGCAAGAGTGATTGCAAGACTCAACGAAGTGATCTTCAGTGGGTGTCGATTTAAGCCCAGGGACACCTTCAGTACGAGACACCCGACCAGTTTCACAAGGTAGGCACTCCGATTCGCCTGGGAGCATCTGACCTTAGAGACAACAGCTGTGCAGTTCCAAGCACTTTAATCCTCAGGGCACGCCTAGAAAACACCTGCATAAAATTCAAGTAATCAATCAAATACAATCACATTTCGGTCATAAAGTGACTGGTGCCAGGACCACAGGCTTCGCAAACTCGTGTCGTTCCGGCTTCAGCAGATTTGGTGCCTGCAGGGTCATAAAGTCAATGAATGAAGTACTCAACAAAACCCTCCAAAAATATGCAACTACTGGTATCATCTGGTATCACAAATTATATAGTTATCTCTAAAAAAAAGGTTTTGTCGAAGAGAACAGCATGCATACATCGTTTAAAACATGTATGTGTTATTCGCTTCGAGCTTCCAACGGGACAAAAGTGACAGCTCACGGCCAATGCTCGCTGTTGCACAAAGTTGCCATCGGCGTCCTTACTTGAAGGCAAAGGACAAACAAATCAACGACTTCCAAACAATTCGACCTTGACCAACGCAGGCCAATTATTCAGAAATCGTTCAAAACACAAAACTTGTGGAATATCTTGGAATACTCAGTTGTCTTTCAAACCTCCAACAAAGTGAAAATTTACTTAATTACTATCAGATCAGACTCCACCAAGCCTTTTCCAAGAGAGCAATCCGTCTCATTGGGTATCCAAGCTACCCAAAGCTCCTGCAAAAAATCACTCAAATTGTGGTGTTTTCGCGGATTTTCCTTCTGTGCTCTTGCGCGCCTGATTGCGCCGAAAGAAAAAACAAATTTTTGCTTTGCTGCCATGCCCTTTCTCCCTCCGTTACGTTTAGCCTCGCAAACATGTTGCATGGTAGAAAATATGAACATACACTTGCACAGTGCCAGTTCAATATCATTGCTGGTATTTGCTGCGCACGTATTTGGCAGCATGTTTCTGCCGTGTGTTGGATAAACATTTGTAATCGACATGCACTTGCACTCACTTGCACACTCACACATACATACGTACATACATACATACATTCATACATGCATACGTACATACATACATACTTACTTACACTACCCTACACTACATTACATTATATACATTACATTACATCAATACAAACAAAAAACAAATAAACACACATACATACATACATACATACATGGAAGGAGATGCCACCAAGATGTGCCCCATCTGCCAAGTCCCGGCCACCCCAAAACACATCATCTGGATGTGTAAGTGGCACCAAGGGCAAAAGCACCCACCCATGCCCATCCCATGGACAGAACGGCTCCAAGACCCGCTGGAAGAAATGGCTGGATCCCAAGAGAGCCTCAAGATCATCTCACGGCTCCTCTAGCATTGGAAGGACATGGGTGTTGGCAAACCTTGGAGCCCTTGCCCTTTCAGTGACCATTGATGCCACACCGACCTCCGCAGACCCCAGAGCCCAAGCCTGGATCTATGCACTCTGCGTTCATGGCTACTCTTTGGGGGCCCTGCAACGAAAGGGTACCATAACCGGCATGGCCAAGGGTGCCCAAACCAAAGCGCGTGCTTTGTTCCAAGGACTTCTGACTTTGGCCCAATTCATCCAGACACCCACACGGGTGGTTGTCCAGGTCAGTTCAGTATGGGAAGCGTGGACCAACCCCAGCAAGCGCAAGGGCTTCCAGGACCTGGCCCAAGGACATCCGGCGGAGTACTATACTCTGATCACACCGCTCTATGTCCACAAGAACCACCGGACACCAGAAGCGCCAGGAAACGAGCCCCACCTACGACAGAGACAGCGTGATGCTGCTATAGCTGCATGGGAACGAGCAACACATATCCACAACTGACAAGGAAGCTTGGCAAAACATTTTGGATCACGACCATTACGAAATCTACCAGCAGGCAGCCCACCGATTGGCCAGGATCTTTGAAGACAAGGACCATTACGTGCGCAGCAAACCTGCGAGGGCAACGGGGCACAAAACCAAGCAACGCAAGAAGAACCTCTTTGACCAATGCAAGCAGCCATGGCAACAAGGCAAGCACCAATGGAAACCCCACCGCAGTGGGTATCAGTGCCACACACGCCACACAAGGGTACACCAAGGCCTGACTGCAGCCATCATAGAGGCCCGGCTCCAAGAAGACTGTGAACAGCTCACAACGCCAGCCCCAGAACCAAATCTTCGACCAGGCAAAGCCGTTGGCAAAAAGCCCACCAGAGCCAGCCGAATTGCCCCCATCCTGAAGACGCAGCAGGAGCGTCCCACCACAGCCGATGCCCATGTCTTCCAGGAGACCACGGGGTACCTCAAATGCACCAAATGCAACCAGGCCGTACACAAACGAGCCAATGAGGAACTTTTCAACAAGTTCCTAGCAAGCACCTGCATTGACGAAGCCTTGACCAGAGAGCATCAAGCACACGCCCCACACACACTCTGGCAAAGAGGCAAGGCCATTCACTGCAAGGGCTGCGGCTTGCAAAGCCACCTTGACGACAAGGAGCGCCTTGTCCTTGCGAAAGGATTGCAAAAAGAGTGCCGAGGACACAAGCCGAATTCTCCCACTCTGACACAATTCTTCAGTCAGACCGCCCAACATCAGGGCTTCAGAGACGAGCTGAACGACACCACTGCGCTTGAGGCAGGGCCATCCAGTGTCACCACAGGCCAGGAAACCCAGCCCAATGAGGCGACATCCAATCGAGCGAGCTGCCTCAGCCTC